GTAGTACGTAAGGTAAGGTAAAGTAAACGGTAACGGTACGGTCGTGTACGTAGTACGTAGTAGTAGTTAGTTAGTTAGTTAGGTAGTAAGTAAGTAGTAGTAGAGAGAGAGAGAGAGAGAGAGAGAGAGAGAGTTTCTTCTCTTTATTATCTCTTGTGCATGTGGTGTGTGGTGGAGGACTCGGATCCCCATGTTTATTGCCTTCTTCTTGTGATTTTCTTCTCAGTTTTTGTTTCTCTCTGTAAAACGCGGCTATATTTGTTGGTTGTTGGTTGCCTGTAATTTTCAGCTGTGTCAAAATTTGCTTAGCCAGCTTGACTTGGGGAGGCCTGAGTTGAGTCCATGAGTTTTATGACACTTTTTCTGCGTGGTGGAAGATAGAAAGTTCCACACACATACATGTACTCACACACACACATAGAATGGCATTCATGTGTGTCAACAGGGAACACACAAAAATCATATTCTTGTCAATGGAGATAATTTTAGTGGTTTATTAGGAGTAAGAAATTCATATTATGAAACACAATTATTTAGTAGGTGATATTGACACAATCCCACTGAAAAGTACCTGTATTTGGCTCTCTAATTTTCATCATATCCCTAACAAATGAATAAAAATTTCTTCTAATCCACTCTACCAAAGGTTTGGGATAACTTTAGTTGAACAATATGAAGTTTCATGAAAATAGAAAAATGAAAGCATATATGGATCATTGCAAAAGAGATGAGTAGGCACGTACCATTGACTGTTACTAAACAGTGCTTGCGTGCAATTTCTGTTCTAATTGTTGAAGAGAGGTGATGTGAACTAAAGAGTCTTGGTCCTCATGCCATGCCACCACAAACTTAAAAATGACTTAAAAAGATGGTTGGATGAAAGACTACTCATGTGCTGCACTTGCAACATTCTCCAGCTACACTCTAATGGATTGAGCTTTCTCCTTTTGGTGTCTAATATTTGAGTGGATGGCTATGCATTGTACACTTCCAATGAGAATACTCCTGACTAACAACTGACCTATTTTTTAGTTTCAACTTTGCATGTTTAACCTGTGAAACTATCATGATAATGTTCTCATAGAGTCTCTTTTATGTCTTTTATATGACTTCTTTTCACTGCTGTAGTATTATACATTAACTCAAGGTTAGGCTGAGGCACTAGACCAGATTCCTAATCTATAATGCTTTTACTGTTTTTGTTTTCTGTAACCTGTATTGGCATCTGCTTTCAATATCTCATGCATATAGAGCCTAGTATTGCTTGAGTCCTTGATCTGCAAATAATATTTAGTTTGTACTTAAGCTTTGGTAGTTTTTTTACTGGTATACTTTTGCTATAGATAACGGCAAATCCATGGGATGTATCTCGGGTCCCTGGAGGATCATCTGGGGGCTCTTCTGCAGCCGTGGCTGCAAGGCAGTGTGCAGTTTCATTGGGAAGTGACAGCGGTGGAAGTGTAAGACAACCGGCATCCTTCTGTGGTGTTGTAGGATTAAAACCAACATATGGCCGTGTTTCTCGTTATGGGCTTATGGCATATGCATCATCAATGGATGCAGTTGGATGTTTTGCTTCATCAGTTATGGACGCTGCCATTCTTCTCCGAGCAATTTCGGGTCATGATACTCAAGATGCAACCAGCTGTAAATGTGTAAGAATCTTTGTGGTCTATAATGGTTCAGACATGAAAAATTTATCCATGTTGTACATAACATATCTATGTTTCCCAAATAAGACGTGGCCTTTCAGTACCATTTTTTATCCTGTTTGGATTTTTCATGTTCCCAGTTGTGATTTCATACTTCTAGTCCATCAATAATTTCAATTTCATACAAATACAACAGATATTTATTTATCGATCTCTGTGAGCTTGTATAAATTCATTCTAAAACAACTATCGTGAATTTTGACACTCGCTCTTGCAAACCTTCTCTATAATGTATTAGTCTCCCAAGGTTTGATCGTATTGCCCATGTGCTAAGTAATCCCTTCCTCCTTTTGCCTGGTAATGAAATCATCAGATGTTTATGTTGATTGTGCACTTCTCCATAGTTTTCCTTTTAGGAGTGGAATAAATGATGCTTCACACTTTTGCTTTTCGAATTAGCCATACTAAACCTATTTTGTTTATGTGCTAACCCCATCACTGTTAGAGTTTTATAATAGATAACACTGCCTTTTGCATGTTTATTTTTTCATGTATTACAATTGCTTTGCCAAATTTTTTCATATTGATTTTGTTCTTGTGTTTTGGTATTTGCAATCGGCTTATTTTGTAGTAAGGTGAGTTGTAAAGAAGCAAATAGGTGAGCTCAAAAGAGCTTACTTCTAGGAATTTGTGACCTGACAGTGAGATCACCAACCATAAAAAATAAAAGAGCAAAGGAAAGTGAAAGGAGAAAGATGGACATTTGGAGGTGTCGTGAACCTAATTTTAACTGTAATGGTAAATTATAACGCAAACTTTCTTCTGGCAGCATGTTCAAAAACTTCCTAATACTCGTTCTGTTTCTGTTGTGTTCTCACTGCTGACAAAAAGAAAATAGCAACTTTGTAACTCTGACTCTGATTATTATTATTATTATTAATTGTGCTTTCAGGAAGTCCCTGACTACACAACTGAGCTTGTTCCTAAAGATTTATTGGGATCTGAACCTTTGAAAGGGCTCAGGGTTGGGGTAATCAGAGAAACACTTGGAGATGGTGTTGATACAGGAGTAACTTCCACAATACAAGCTGCTGCGTCTCACTTGGAAGAAATTGGATGCACTGTAACTGAGGTTTTCTTCTTCTGATAATACCACTTTGTTTTTGCCAGTAAAGCAATCCCATTTAAAGTTCGCAGCGTTTATTCTGCATTTGCTTTAGTTTCCAGAATGACGATTCTTTGTCCTGGTTCAAAATCAGGCCACAACTGAAGGCTAGTTTTTTTTAAATGCTTTCAGGTATCACTTTCATCTTTCTCTCTTGGGTTACCATCCTACTACATCTTAGCGTCATCAGAAGCCTCTTCTAATTTATCACGTTACGATGGTGTAAGGTGAAGTTTACATATTTTTCCAGTATTTAATCTTTTGTTATAGTTTCAAAAAAAATCTTTTGTTACCTTATCATATTTTCCTGCTTGTGTTCTGAGATCTGGATTGGTGGCTGAATCGAAGTGGGCATTGGTCTGATTAACTCCTCAGTGGCCTGTCTAGACGTTCAGATTGGGTTTAACATAAAAAAGCGAGGAAAGGATGAAATAATTACATTCTTAACCATATGCTATTCTGCCTTGTTTCCAGCAATGTACGTACTGTTGCTGCCATATGCCATGTGCTGGTTGCCAGCTCTTGTATGTTGTGAATGTAGAGAAGAAAAAAGGTTGTTGGGAGGGGGGGGGGGGTGTGAGTGTGAGGAAGGGATTTGCGCCTTTTGAACCCGCTTGCTCTCGATTAAAAAAATGTTGGATTGAGCAGTCTTGACCTATTAAATATGCAAAAAATAGGTTATAGGTACACATACTTATAATATTTTTCGTGTGTGTGAATATTTCGTTCTCTACAAACTTCATCATCCCATACTAAGCTTTGTCCCTTAGAGTTTCACTTCCTTGCAAACCCTACAGGTCATCTACTGTAATAGGTTGTCAATTTACATACCATACTCAGTTATACCATGTGAGAGTTGCACTTGACTTATTTTTTTGTTAAAATTTTAAAATCGAGTTTAATCTATTGACCATCTCCTTTCATGTACAGGTATGGAAACCAAGTGTTGGCTGATGAATTGAGATCCTTATATGGTGTCTCCCGTGCCAATGGATTCGGTCCAGAGGTACATAAGATCTAAACAATCCTGCACTATTTTGTGTCATGTACATAATACAATAATTACTTATTTTCTAGAATCATTGAGAGATTTATTTTTGAGCTTTTTTGGAAGTGATTGCTATCATAACTGCATGATACTATTTTAAAACCCAGTCTTGGGTTGTATCTAACTATGTTCTCGAGTCCAATTCAACCAGTTCGACTTGGCCAAGTTGGAACAAGATCTGGCCGAGTCTGCAAAAAATTACAAATAAAAGCCAAAATAAGGTGGGACTCGGGTGAGTTCTAGTTTCTGGCTAGGGACTTGCCAAGGGGTCCCAAGCAGCCAACTTGGGTGAGTTAAGGACCTGTGTGGATGACAATTATTTTTATCTAGAGTAGACTATCTTATCTATCTAAAAGTAATGTACTCTAAGGTAATATTATTTTTTTAGCTATTTGGTAGGTAACTTGTTATGTATTTTGTTATTTAATTATTTTTTACTTTTTTAGAACCATAATTCAGGAAAATGGAGAGATTGATGAAGATGTTGCACATAAAATTAGAGCTGGGTGGGCAAAGTGGAGATGTGAAACGGAGTTTTATGTGATTGCTACATGCCAACGAAGCTGAAGGGAAAGTTCTATAGGACAGCTATGAGACCAAGTTTACTTTATGGTGCAGAATGTTGGGTGGTCAAGAAACAACATACCCATAGAATGAGTGCAGCTGAGATGACGATGTTGAGATAGATGAGTGGAAAGACAAGTGGAAAGACAAGAAGGAATAGACTTTGAAATAAATACATTTGGGAGAATTTAGATGTGACTCAAATAGGCGATGAAATGAGAGAAAATAGACTTAGGTGGGCTGGCTATGTGTGGCACACACCCAGTACTACACCTGTTAGGACGTGCGAGATAGTTCAAGTAGAAGGTTCAAAAGGCAAGGGGTAGGCCTACAAGGACGTGGTTGGAAGTGGTGAGAAAAGATATGGGGACTTATGGCCACACTAAGGGTATAACTCTTAATCGAGCAGAATGGGGGGTTAGGATTCGTGTAGCCAATCCCAATTAGTTAGGAAAAGGGTTCGATGATGATGATAATGAATTACTTTTTAGAACCTTGGGTCACAACTGAAAGCTAATAACTTTTTTGGTAGTTACTAGTCATTTTTTTAGCTATTTATGGCGAAAAAAGTATGGCTTTCAGCAAATCGCTCTTGTTTTTCAAAAAGATAAACCTATATGTGAAACTGCTTTTAAATTTATCTCAGATAATTCTATAGTGACCACTGGCAAACAATGGATAATTTATTATGAGGATTAATTTTATTGAAACAATAAATTATCAATGATAACTAGTACCTCCAAACTTGCCCTTAAACACCGATTCATGATTATATAAAACGCGTGCACACACACACACACACAGAGACAGAATGAGAAAATCTATGCACACAAGGGAGGATAACTTTCAAATTGCAAGTAGGGTCTCCTTTCCCTCCAATTTTCTAATTTGTCTCTATGTAACTCTTACATATGCTTTCTTTAATATGGTTTCTTTCTTTGATAAGTATCTATCTTTAAAACCTCTTGCATTATCTAAATCTAACTTGAGTTGACAAACCCTTCACAATTTTTTTTTGCATTTATATATCATAATGTAACAAATACAGGGAAGAAATGGGAATGTATCTTTAAAACCTCTTCCATTAGCTAAATCTAACTTGAGTTAGACAAACCCTTCAATTTTCTTTTGCATTTATATATCATAATATAACAATTACAGGGAAGAAATAGGAATGAGGGAAATACAAAAATATAAACTTAATTATTAGAAAATAATGCTAGAAATACAAAAATATAAACTTAAATATTAGAAAATAATGCTCTATTACAACTTAAAAAAAATCATTTATACCAGATTAGGAATTTGAATAGAAATACTTAGATGCTTTTTCTCAATATGTTAGAAAAGAATTTGAAAATTATTTGAAATTGATGAAATAAATTAAATATGAAAATAAAATTAAAAAATTATATTGATAACTTGAAATAAAAAGCAACAAATAATACTTACACTTCATTTCTATTCATCATCATCATCATTATCATCATCATCAGAGCCTTATCCCAACTATTTGGGGTCGGTTACATGAATCATGTTCGTCATTCTACTTTATCAAGGGCCATACTTCAGTAAGACCATAAGTCCCCTTATATTTCTCACTAGTTCCATCTATGTCCTTTTGGGCCTTCTCCTTGCCTTTTTAGCCTTCCACTTAAACCAAATCACACCTCCTAGCTAGTGCTGTATTGGTTCGACATTGCACGTGGCCCGCTTACTTAAGTCTACTTTCTCTCATCTTATTGTGTATTGAAGCCACACCTAAGTTCCCTCGAATTCATTCACTTCGAATTCTATCTTTTCTTGTCTTGCCACTCGTCCATTTCAACATCTTCATCTCAGCTACACTCATTCTATGGGTATGTTGTTTCTTGACTGCCCAATATTCCATCCCATAACGCAAAGCTGGTCTCACAGCTGTCTTATAGACCCCTTCAACTTTGTTGGTATTTTGAAAATATTTTTTCATTTATTTCTCGACTACGCATCATGTAATGCATGTGCCATGAGCTAGTTTGATCATTTGATGTATGCCAAATGAATTGTCCAGTAGTATTGACATTTCCATGCCTTTGTTTCATAATTTCTAATCATTGCTTTGTGCATTCGACCATGTCACTTTCATATCATTTATAGTATCTATGTCAATATGTTTATCATTTTCCTTTAGTTGTTCATGGAACAGGGTGCAACAACTGGTTGAATTTGCATTTCTGATCAGGTCAAAAGGAGAATTCTTATGGGAACTTATGCACTTTCTGCGGGATACTATGATCAATATTACAAACGTGCTCAACAGGTATGACAATTCTAATGGGAACTTATGAACTTTCTCTCTCTCTCTCTCTCTCTCACACACACACACACACACACACACACACACTCCATTGCTTAAATTGAGTGCTCTCTCTCTCTCTCTGTCTCTTAATTGGTCTAAAATATTTGCATGCGATTTAGTGTGATCAATCTCTCATGGAGATCAAACATGGGACTAATGAGTGCTTTATTGATTTTTTTATATTTTAGTAAATTTTTTGTTTAGTTTTATATATTGAACCAAAAAGAAAAGGTCGGACCGCATGTTGGACCTGTTTTGACTGGACTAGCCCCTTCACTAGTTTGAGCACCAGTCCAATCCTCATAACATTGTGTGCATGTAAAGATTCTTTTAGGCCATTGCTGCTGAAACAGTGTAAGACGAATGGCCTAAATTGAACCATTTAGGTCGATCTAGATGGTGAGTGTTCAATGACAAGGGTGGGGGTATTTTGGTCCACTTTTTTTGCAAATTATTTCTTTGGTTGGCCTAGGTCAGGTTCACACCCGTCCAAAATTTGGGGTCCATCAGATTTATAAAATAATAATAAAAATCAAATGTTGAGCCGGTGTGTTGACCACAGATAGGCTCAGATTCCTTTTGGGTTGTTGGCCCTGCACCTTTTCATCAGCCCATGGGCTCATATGCACACATATATAGAGAGAGGGTATGACTATAGACTTTTTCATTTAACCCGCTTAATGTTTATTTGTTGAAAGAAATTCATGGTGTTGAATATTTTTTAGGTGAGGACTTTGGTTCAAAAAAGCTTCAAAAAGGCACTAGGTGAACATGACATCCTCATTTCACCGGCAGCCCCAACTACTGCTTATAAGATCGGTATGCCACTTCTCTTCTTCTTCTTCCTCTTCTGTTATTTTTGGTGATGATTTTCTCAATTGAGTTCATGGACCACACGAAATTTGGTGCATGCTAATCACTGAATACTATGTTCCGCTCTGCTTTTCAGGGGAAAAGGTAGATGATCCATTGGCTATGTATGCAGGAGATATAATGACTGTAAGCGACTTTGAACCACTATACATTCCTTGAATATTTTAAACTGCTTCATGTTGCTTTTCATTGATAAGATGCCAACCAGGCCTGTTGATAAATAAATAATTGATACAAGTATCTGCAATCTCTTCATGGTAATCTGGTAAATATGCCAAGTGAAATAAGGAATGCATGTTCTTTATTTTAGCATGCACCTTTATGCCAAGTTAAAAAACAATTGTTCGAAAGAATTTCTTGCTGTCGACACCTGAAATTTGATTGGTTCATGTTGTTGACAGAATTGTTATCTTGGATCACATGTAGATTCCTAGATACCTATGAATCCTTATCTATGTGCCCCTAGGATCACCAAATTTTGTGAATGTCCCCATAAACCCTAAAAATTAGCTAGAATTTCTCCATAAGAAAATTGTACCCAATTGACCTACAACCTCATTCATTTGGCAAACTCTCCCACAGTCTAAGTCTCACAGAAATATTACATTGTTAAAAAGTTGTGATGACATTTTACTTATCCATGGTACACAGACAATTTACCCAGTGTATGACACACCCTATGCTGAACATGGCATTTGTGCCGATGTGCCATGCTGCATACAAAATTGTGGAGACTTTCATGAACCACCTCGAAAGTGTGTTAGAAGCTTTTGAGGCAGTTGGGTATGCGATTTTCGACACGTCATTGATGAAACCTACCCCTTATTATCTCAGCCTATAATACCCCCCTTTGCGATTCGTTTCAGGGAGACTACTTAGTGACCAAACTGAGACTGTACGGTTCACGTTTTATCTAACTGCTCTGTAATCCGTGAGCATGGTTCTGTGTGAACTGTGAAATGTGAACTGTGGAGTGTGGATGTGCTTATGTCTTGTTTGTGTGACTTGACAGGGTCTTTGTGACTTGGGTCCTTGAGGTTGTGAGAGAGGATTCCTTACCCCTTTGTGATGTATTGTCTTGTCTGTGTGACTTGAGTTGGTCTTTCTGTCCACAAACTAGGGGAAGAGCCCTTGTAGCCTGTGGCTGCATTATGTTACTCTATGACTTGCCTTGGTTAGGTTTGATTGGCCAATCATGAGCCCTGCATAGGAGCCTTGTGGGTATGGCTCAGTTGGGTTTGTTTGAGGTCAAGGGTGTAGCTATAGGGTATCCATGGAAGGCTTAGTAAGGGTTTGGTTCCATTGCTAACACATTCTTCCAATAGGTTTCCAATGGCTTTTAAAGGATTTTGAGAAAAGAAAATTGTGTTTTATTGCTCAAATTAGTCACCTAAATTTTGTGTAGTGAATTTGTATATTAGAGCAATGGTATCTTTGGGAAAAAAAACAACAAAAATTTAAAACATGGACTTTTATGGAATTAAAATGTTCTTTGAATGGAAGAAGATTTAGTGGGCATGGTTTGAGATTTGTGTGGGGCATAAGTGGGCCCTATATGTGGCCAGTTGTGGGTCCTGTGGAGCGGCCGAAAATGACCACGTGGTCGATAATAATATCCTTGTAAGATTTCTAAGTTGATTTGGAATGATGGTTCTTGGAATCAAGAGAGAGTTACGTGGAGGGCTTTGTTATTTGTGATTCCCAGGGAGTTTGGGTGAGAGAAAAGAGAGAGAGGTAGGATGAAGGGCATGTGCCCGGGGGTAGAGAGGGGCAAAGAGAATTTTCCTTGTGAGAGATCCACAGAGGATGAAGGGCTTGCAACCTAAGTCGGCCTAGCTTGCATCTTTTTCACTCAAAACAGAGTGAAAAAGAGCTTGCATTTTAGAAGGTTCGCCATTGGCTAGGAGAGATTGCATAGGTTTACAAAGTCCTAGAGCGTGCTTCTAGGCAAAATCAGGTTGGTTATTCCTTGTTGATTTTTGGCTGATTTTAGTCATTGTGTTGCGAATGCTCCAGCAAGGTTTTCTTGGGCAGTTGGGCCTATCTCTTTTTTTTTCTTCATTTTCTTTTGTCTTCAATAATGAAAAAAATCAGGGCCATGCACATTTGAGATGGTAATGTGCATGGGACTTTAGTAAAAGTTGTATGGAATTTTTTTGTAATTCGTACCTTGCATGAACCTATCATTGCCGCCGACAGAAACCCTAGCCTTCAGCGTTGAAATTCCCAAATCTCTCCTATTTTCTGTAATTTTAGTATCAAAATACCCCTTGGTACTTTAAAATGTTAGATCTGGCCATAGTTTCCAATCCTACCCCAGATCTCTCATCAAAACCCTAGACATAAACCTGAAGATTCCTAATTTCCTCTATCCAACCCTAGCCAAGAATTTAAGTGACCTTTTTTCTTAGATCTAACCTAGTTTAACCGTCAAAATCCTAGAAATCATAATATTGTTTCTTATAGACCACAAGTTCCATATATTCCACAAAGATCAACCATATACACTTAGATAGTTAGATTCACCCAAACCAATCAAATACCTGGTGATCTAGCTGCATCAGTCTTATATTGTCCCTTAGGGGATTTGCCCTCAACTTAGTTATCATATGCTATACATCCAGTCTGATTCGATTTGTTTCTACTTTAGGTTTTGTGCCGAGGACCGTGGCTAGGTACAAAGTCTTTATTATCCTTTTTACTTTTAGTTTTTAATTGCTTTTTACTTTTATTTCTAATTATTATTTTTTCAAAACTTTTCTTTGCTCTCCTTCAAACCTTAGATCTAGTTTTTCAATCCTTAAGCTATTTTTATTTCGAAGTGAATTATGTTCACCTCATAGGTGGTGTATCAAATAGCAATATTTGGGTTTATCTATAGCTGAATCCCTCTGTTTTATTAAATTCTTAAATTTATTTGATGTCTTTCAAAGTATTTGAGAAAACTCCCCTTCAATCTCCCCTATTCAGATGGGCAGGGTCAGATTTTGATAGAAGCATATATTAATAGGGATGGGATATAATCATACATTTGAAGATATTATTTTACCTAATATAACAACCTTGAAATTCTATGATGCCTTAGGACTTCAAACAAGTCCTCGTTTTCTCGGGTTTGCTTTTAATCAATCTGAAGGGTTTGATACTTTGACTTTTTTGCATGGACATCTATATTGGAAGCTCATACTTCACTTAAGTAGTCAGCATTTCCTATTAGTCTATTTCATCTTTCGGATTTAAATGTAATAGGTTATGTTTTTATTTCAGGGCTTCCTTCCATTGTTCTTTGTGTTGTTGTGCAATTCTAAACAGTTTATGGTGTTGAAGCAGGTCAATGTTAACTTGGCTGGATTGCCTGCTCTAGTTCTTCCATGCGGGTTTGTTCAAAGTGGAGATGTAGGTCTTCCTGTTGGTCTTCAATTGATTGGCTCTGCATTTGATGAGGTTCACTCACTCTCTCTCTCTCTCTCTTCGTGCTAGTGTGTGCGCGCTCGTGTGAGTGTGTGTGTGTGGACATGCATGTATGCGTGTATATGTGGAGATCTGCTAACTTACTCTATTAGTAATGAGTAGTGAAACTTAATTTTAAGGGGGGCCGGGGCGGGGAAAGTCTATTAGTAACTTTTTTTAACAGGCCTTTGTTTTCCGAAGTAAAATACCTACTTTGTATTGTCAATCATTTTTGGGTGGGGTTACTTCTGTCATGTGACCAGGACATAACAGAAGTTATGCATGAAGCAAGAAAGACGTTTTACATTGTTAATACAAGCTTCTTTTTTTATTGATTAGGACAGACATCACTAGAATGTCACCCCTATATAAAGAATGTCATATTGTCCTTGGTAAATAACAAAAACTACCCTCATTCAATTATAATTTGGAAATGGATAAAACTACCCTCATTCAATTATAATTTGGAAATGGATAAAACTACCCTCATTCAATTATAATTTGGAAATGTATGGTGGCAGAATTTATGTGAAACAGCTTGTGCTTGGCAAAGAATAAAATTACCTTACCCAAACTTTATTTGTAAGAGAAATATGTATACAATGTTTTCAAGACAGAAAACTCAGGGAATAGATGGCATCCCTCCTTTAGGAGGATGTCTGCAAGGGAGGCTACAACTCCCTAGATGGGAGGCATATGGAGAAAAGAACCAAATTACATCTTTTCTGGAGCATTTCATATATTTGTGAAGGGTAATTTAGTTGGGTTCTATGGCATCAATGGACACCTAAAAGTTGTGAAACATCGTGGGACCTCTGTTCACCCATGGACATGGTCAAATTAAATAGAAGGGCTTCTTTGTAAACCTCAATGTTTGTGTGTTTATGTGCCGCTGAAATAATCGTGACTTATGCCTTACCAGGTTGAGGGTGCAAACAACCAATGTAGAGAATAGCCCATTTGGCTATGCACCTATATGTTCCAAATGACTAATGCGTAGTATGGCTCATGCCAAATATGACTCATGCCCATTGTGGCTCATGTCCCTAGTGACCTATACCTTATGTCCAATACTTTAGGGTTACTATGACTCGTCTAGAAACGGCTAAGGCTGTAGAAGGCTTACATCTTCATACCATCTGATACAAACACCATCTAAGCTATAGTCAAGGTAAAATCTAGAGGACTGAAACAACTAGCCTAGGAACTCTAGAAGACTAAAACAACTAGCCTAGGAACTATGTTGTCTATTATCTTCCACCTGTAAAGCACCTTTATTGGCAAGAAGGTAATGACCCACCATACAAGGAGCATACTCTTGCATGAATGCATAACAAATAGATCGGTAAAACCAGAGTCCAGAATCGTATCGGTAAAGTCCAGAATCAGATCGGTAAAACCAGAGTCTAGAAGAGCATCCAACATTCGGAAAGAGGACAATAAAAAATAGAAAGCTGTAACCACTTTCCTTCTCTCTTATGATGATTATAATGAATGGTGGACTATGTGACTGGGGAAGTCAATACCAATTAAAATTTTTCTACTCTTTTATACGTATTGGCACCCGGATCACTTACAAGTGTCCAAAATACAATTTTGACTCAATGAAATAGCCAAAACCTCTCACTTGCATGCCATTAAAAGAAAATTACATTTATCATGTAGAACTGAAAATTACATAAGAAAGCAATAGAAGCAACATAAGTACGGAATATGAAACATGTACCTTGCCTCAGGTTACCCCCCAAGGTCTTCGTACACCCCAAACCTAGTCTCCTCCACCGATGGTGCATGGGATCTTGATTCAAGAACACACCTCACAATTAGGGAAGCCTAGGCAAAAAACCCTTAGATAGCATCACATGGGATTTCCTTGACCAAGGTTCAATACATGAGCATGAGGCAAGGACCTAGGGCTAGGGCTTGTGTGGCTTGGGCATGCCATCCCTTAGGGTTAAGTTTTCCTAAACCCTAATTTTGGATGAGAGAAAGAAGAGAAAGAAGGCTAGAGTGGGGCATGCCCCCTTTGGTTGCTTAGAGAAAGAGATAAAAAGATAAGATATAGAACCCCCATAGTTAGTATATAAAAAAAAGAGGCTATCTAGTTTCTAGGGTTAGGGTTTTACCATCGTTATGAGGTTTAATCTTGACATTTGATCTTGGAGACCTACGGGGTGACGAGATCTCAATAATTTATTCTTTAGATCAGCCATCATGATTAAAGGAATGATGTGGAATCTTATCCCTCAGCTTCCATAATTCCATTCCCATCAAATATTTTGTGTGGAGAAAGTATTTAATTTATACTTATTTGATATCTTACATTTTCCAATATAATTTCAATTAAAAAATCTACACCTTAAGTTTCCAAAACTTCAAATCATCACTTGCCTTAGAAGGCACATAAAACAATAAGGAAAGTTTGCATGGGGTGGGGCGCACTACCCATGTGGGCCCCACGCTTCACGCATTTGTGAGCCCATTGAACCCCATTGGGCCCCCAATATATTAATTTTAATTTTAGATATTAAAACAAATTTTACAAAACATCCAAATATTTTATTTTTCTCTCTGATTAAAATAGAACCAAAAATTGATTTTTCGTTATATGAAAATTATTTTTCAATGAAATAAACTACTCAGAGAGGTCAAAAAATTCATTTCAATTATCTATAAAATAATTAAGACTTATTTAAACATATGAAATAAGTTTTGATGGGAATTGGATCCATAGAGTTAAGATTACGACAAATATATTGAGGACTCCATCTTCTCTAGAGACCGCATCTCACTGCACTTTCTAAAATTGACCCAACCGATCCCATAACCTACAACCTATCGTAGGGGTTCATGATTAGACTAACAAAGTCAGTCAATAAGTGAAGAAGATACGATCCTAGACCATAGATTACAAGTCCCTCCTTGAGGACAAGTCCGGGGCCCATTTCAGCAGTATGCTCCATGGTCATTCCAGCACAGTCTAGTGTTGCAGGGAGTCATCTCTTCTGCACATGTACATGTCACACACCCTTATCCAAAGGGTTGCTTCCCGGACGGCTATCTAATATACATGATGTGAGATGGTATTGATGAGGATTTAGGTCCTTCTCGTCTTAGGTTATCCATTACAAATAGGGGTCAAATCCATGTCCCCTTGTCAACTGTCTTGGGCACATCTCCGACCTCATCTAGGGATAACCCCACATCGAAACCCTTATCGGTTGTGCTTACACGATTCCCAGAACTACGAGTTTTGGACTTATCATTGAGTTATAGCTAGTCAAAACTCATGTGAGTCTAAGGCATTATCAATGCCCTATAGTCCAAGTTGGATCATACTCCCACTGGAGTCAATAATTCATTATATATTTTCAGAACATGCTCTCATAGGGCCTTTAAATTGCCACAAAAACCCAACATATACTTTTTCCATTCCCCATTATACTTAATTAATATAGGTGTTCCATCGAAATATAAAAGGTGGATGTAAATTAACAAGGTGTCTATGGGTGGCATGGTACTTTATTGCTTTTGTAAAGTCGTTTATTTTTCTTCTTTTAGCTATAGAAATGCTACATTTCGAAAGCTGGATATTACATTTGTATACTTGGTGAGAGATGATATGTGACTTTCCTTAATAACGCATTGATTCATGTTTAAAGAATCTCCTTGCACTACAAGTGGACCATTAAAAATTAATGTGAACCATTAAAAATTAACGTGAACATCTTGTTTCCGGTGACGATTGCTTATCTGAAAGAAAATCTATAAAGAGGACCTTCTGTGGAGTTTGTGCCCAATTGATCTTGAAAATGCTTCCTCATGACATGCAGTTCATCTCTAGTTACCAGTCTCTTTTAGTTTTGGGTAACTTAATGAATTTTTGTTGTATGTCAGCTTTTAGAAATTCTGATTGAGCAGTGATCTCCAAATAAATAATTCCCATGGTGTTCATTTTTCTATTGCATTCCACCCAATTCCACACTCGACATTCTTAGAGATTTCAGTGCCGATGGATAGTGATCTTAGAGAAATTACACCATAATAGGAATGGGCCTGACAACCATGAACTGATGAACTCTGCCTGAGCTAAAGGTTACCCATGATGTAACATTTGAACTCTAGGAAAAAAACCCAACATGTAGCATAGTTTAAGTGAAGAGATGCTCCTTGTCTCTATTTATTTCACAAAAAGTTAGTTGGGGGATTCCCATGGTCTAGAAATTGATTTGCCATGATAATCTTTTGCTTTTTCTAACAGTATTCCCATGGGCATCTGATGCCAAGCTCCAGCCCATGATGAACTGATGAACTCTGCCTGAGCTAAAGGGCACCCATGATGTAACATTTGAACTCCAGGAAAAAATCCAACCTGTAGCATAGTTTAAGTGAGGAGTTGCTCCTTGTATCTGTTTATTGCCCAAAAAGTTTGTTGTGAGATTCCCATGGTCTAGAAATGATTTGCCATGAGAATCTTTTGCTTTTTATTTTAACAATATTCCCATAGGCATTTGATGCTGAGCTCCAGCCCCCCAAACACCATGAAACATAGAATGAATCCACCAGACCAATCACCTTCTTTCAGATCTACCGTAGTTTTCGCCCACCTATATTCTTTTGCACGACTGCTCTTCCAGTTGACCAAACTGACTGTTTCAGAAATCTCCTTCCCTCTCAAATCGTCCCAAAGTTGAGAATCTCACTTCCCTCTTGAAACACTGTCAACTTAGCTTCCCCACCTAGTGCAAACTATACATACCTGGAAACCTCATTTCCTCACTCTTTTTGGCACCAAAAACTCTCCAAAAGCCTAAAATTCCATTTCCAACCCTGATCTGATTTGAAACTCTTGCCTTGCTAATGCAATGGTTTTTTTTTTTTTTTCTTTAGTTTGCTATTTTTAGATTTTATGTATAGGGTTATTTTTGTCTTTTCTTCCTTGTATATATTTAAGGAGCAAAATAGAAAGTTTTCTATGGGAATTCATTAGGATATATTCTGTTAAAGGTTGTGGAAAAGGGAATCGTAGTTTTAAGAGATCTAGTCAACATAGAGATTTTTTTAAGGAGATTAAGATGAGATTTGGAAAAGAGGAGATTTACTAAGATTAGAAGAGGGAAAAATGTGGGCTAAAGAGAGAGAGAACGTGGGGAGAGAGAATATTTTTGGAGTTTTATTTTATTTTATTTTATTCTCTCTTTTTGGTTTGTATTTAAAAAGGAGAGACATCCCTATTATGAGAGATAGTGAATGGAGTAAAGAAAGAGTTCATTTGATCTTGTGAAGAGATCTTTGGGGTGGACTTCCTTGGAGACTTTGAAAGGGTATAATCTCTCAAGCCTCTTCTTTTTTTTTGTTTATTATTAATTTTCCTGCATCACTATCCCTACCCAGAACTTGTTGAAGTCTCAATGTCATGAAGGACCCGGAGAAGTACTTACTGGTTATCCATGATGCAAATATTGTGCCTTTTGTTCCCATGTACCAATAGTCTAGGAGGAATAAATGAATGATCCTCATTGTTTTGTTGGCTACAGTCCTTTACATGGTGTGACCTAGAAGTTTTGAATGCTTCAGTTAAAACTTCCAGTTGGCAAACGCCCCCATAGAGAAACTAAAATGCAAAACAATTTGTGTGTGATGTATGGATGACTGTGTGTCTGAGAAGTTTGAAGTGAGAATGTGCTCTGCTTGCAGGCCAAACTGCTGAGAGTGGGTCATATATTCGAGCAGACTCTTCAAAGCCCAAGATTTGTTCCACCATTGGTAGATGGCCTTACTATGTAGCACTGGCTTCCCATCCAGAAAAGCAATCAGGCCCATCCAGAAAAAACTCTTCGGCAATCAGGGGATTGAGGCTTGCGTCCCCATTCTCTATTTATTATGTTGTTTCCACATGGAGAGAGAGAGAGGTATTATGGCTTCCTAGGAACCAATTTTTTGTATTGTATAACAATAATTAGGAACCATTATTTTTATTGTAGAACAATAATAAGTTTTAACACCACTAATTGTAAGTTAACATTCACTCAAAAACAATGTCAATAATCTCGACCACCATGATTAATAATTTGAAGAAAAGAGGGATTCTGAATCTTAAAAACAAACTAAACTTTTTTCGCATATTGTTCCTTTTAGTTCTTTGCAAATCATCATATCTACACTACATTTTTAGATTCAAAATTCGAGATCTGAAGTGGTAATGCATTTAGATGACTTGAAATTGTTTCAGATCCTAAATTTATCCCTTCCCCCCCTTCCCCCCCCCCCCCCCCCCCCCTCTCTGTCTCTCTCCTGATTTATTAGACGTCTCTCTCCCTTCCTTTGAAACATCTAATTATCTATTTCAATTTGGAACATTAGACAGTTGCACATCTCTCTTATATTGCAAAGCTTTAGATAAAGTATTAATTTCATGTAACCAAGATTGTCACCTACTCATCCATGTACTTATTTCTCTCTGCTTACCCATCTACTACTAAAGAAAAAAGAAGCAATCAACCACATAATATCTACTCATTTTTCTTACTTCTGGAAAACTTTTTAAAAAATAATTCGATTAATATGACTAATCTTCATTAAATAATCAATTAATAGGGAGCTGAAAAGATATTATTTTACGCATGCTCCTACAGGCAAAAGACACATTGGGATTTGTTTGATATAAATATTTAGAGAAATGAATAATTATAAAAATACAAAAGATAGTTTCTGAACACCTAGATTTGATCTTTTAAAAATGGATGGTTGGTTCTGACAATATTTTTTTAATACTTTTTGATAGATTTCAAGGATAATTGGGAAAAAGGGACTCCTAATATGAATCATGTAAGAAATTATTGGCAAGTACAGGCTATAATATGGGCATGAGAATTAAAGCATGAAAATTCATAAAGTATAGGACATGAAAATTAAAGCATAAAAATTCATAGAGTATAAGAACACAAAAATTTACACAATTTGTCCTAAAGGGTTACATTTATTGGTATGACAAACTAAAATCCAATGAGTTTGGCCACAGATTTTCAGACATAATGAACCTCTATAACCCTTGACAAAAACTAGAGTGAAAAAAATTGGCTTCTAAAACAGTGCTCCCCTATAATGTTTTCGTCGATGAAGTGATAATGCATTTTGCTTCCTCAAGGTACATAATGTTTTCTTATAGTAGTTTATTTTGGAAACTGTGTTTTTATGACTTTTGTGACATGTTTCAATTTGAAATACCAACCATGTGTAAAATAGCAACAGTCCAAATGGATGGTAAGTGCAATAAGGACCGGCCGATGCAAAATATGATGCCCTAGGAAAGGATCTAAGTCGTAGTGGTAGCACTCCATGCTTAGTTACTTATTGTGGTTTCCAATCCTGCTGGCACACTACCCACTGACATCTTAAAGAAAAAGCTTGACTCCTAAATCAATGAAAAAAATAGATAGAGGCCTACCTTTCCCACTAAAATACCCAAAAAGAATAAAAAAACAAAAAAAAATGCATGCTTTATTTGTGATTAGGCTTCTCTTGTGTAAGAGGAATATTTTTATATCACGCTTTGAATGTGAACAGACCTTCCCAAGTGACCTGCGCTCATGTCTTTAAATGCTTTCTTCCGTTCAAATGGCGTTTCATCTCCAAGCTTTAGGCTTCAGAGTTAAAGATACATCTTAACTTAGATAAGAGTTAATTATAATGCCTTTTTCTTTTGAAATGGAGGAGAGTTTTAAGTTTTACACTTTGCAATATTAAAAAAAATAAATAAAAAAAATCAGACTTTACCATTCAAGATTCATTTTAATTTTGATGAGATTTTTAACTTAGTATATTGGAGGAGACTAAAGGCAAGAATACAGATTATTCACAACATTTTTTATGTTATGTTTGAGAGGGTATTTAGTGATTAAGTAATAAAGATTTTTATGTTTGAGAGAGTATTTATTTTTTTATAAGCTAGAGTATTTATTTATTTATAAGCTTTGAAGAGGTATTATGGTATGTTTGAGAGGGTATTTAGTGATTAAGTAATAAAGATTTCTATGAGAGAGTACTTATTTTTTTATAAGCTAGAGTATTTATTTTTTTATAAGCTTTCAAGAGGTATTATTGTAATTGAGATTATTTATGATAATGTATCTCATCTCCACCAGTAGTGATGAGCCGGTGACTTGCTTCTTACTATTCGTCTGATATATGTATATTTAATGTAGTTAGTTTTAAAAATAGTTTCGATGGTTTGATTAGTTTTAGAAATCATGGTATAGAAGGTTTCGAGGTTTTGGTGATGTATCTATGTGATACATGTATTTTAATGAAGTCAATTTTGAAAATCAGTCGTTTTGATGGTTTGATTAGTTTTGGAAATCATGGTAGAGTAGGTTTCCATGGTTTGATTAGTTTCGGACGAATGACTAGTTTTGAAAATCAAGGTTTCGGTGGTTTAATATAGAGATAAAGGGTAATCATTTTTTTCACTTGTGGGAATTTAGATTAATGACTATGGGGAATTTAATTTTTTGTATTTGATTAGAGATAAAGGGTAATCATTTTGCTCTCTTTTCTCGGGCACTTATGAGAATTTAGATTAATGCTTATGGGGAATTTAGATTATTGTTGTAAAGGTTAGTACTTTAATTCATCGTACTCATTTCTTCTTATTTCTTCTTATTTTATTATTAAAAGGGAATCTATCTTCATTATCTATGAATAAATGCTAGAGACCAATCGTATAATAGGCCCTAGACTAATCATATATGCACCTAGAGGTGCATACCAGTAAAAAATCGACAGTGTCTCAACATTAAAATTAAGAGATGAATCTTATAATATGCTCCCAGAGGTGACCGTAAAAAATCGACATTGTCTCAACACTAAAATTAAGAGACGGATCATATAATATACTACGACCAGTAAAAAGAAGAAAAATTAAATTGTAAATTTTGGATATGAAGGTATGAGGAAAGAGATCTAACAGTGTGCATACCAGTAAAGAATACAACATTTGGAGAGAACATCAACTTATCTATGTAATTTTGTCATCCTTGCTCTTCTCAATTCTTTATTTATTAATTGAGTTTCATATTAAAATTCAAAACAAAAAAATCAACTACAAGTGAACTCGTCACTGTAAAGGTTTTAGTGACCTTTTTTTTTTCCTCATCTTTATCCTCTCTCTGCCTTTAAACATCTTGTTCTCCGTTTGTTTCATTTTTTATTGGTAAGCTAGAATTTCAGCCATATCATAAAGAAAGATTTCAAGAATGAAATAGTCCCAATAATAAGATATATGTGTTCTTAGGAGCCCTCAATGATTTCTTTGAACTTCCTTTTCCTGTCACTTTTCATGAATAAAAAGAAAAAGAATATGAAAGATATGATTTTAAGGGGAATTGGGCCGGGACTTGATACCTTCCAACGAATCGATTCAGTCTCAACCAATTCTCGGTCCGAATAGGCGATTCTCAATTTAAATCACTCGGTTTTAAAACACTAGCCTCACTTAAGTTGGCTCCCCTCACTGAATAACAGCCACAGAAAGAAAGTCTTAAGGTAAGTCAGAGGCTACACCATTCAATCTCATTTTCTCTATCTCAAAGTCATGAGAAGCTGCCGCTTCTGGACAGTATTTTGCTTCCTCGTTTCATTACAAGAAGTGCTTCACGCTTCTAGGAATGGTTCATTTGGCTTCCAAATAAAAGTTAAGAAAGGTGGTTCCTTGGGGGGCCCTGCCATCTCCTTTTCTTGGGATGACAGGCTTCTCAATCCCATGCCTTCCAAAAGTCAAATATGCCGGTAAAAAGGCAAACATGCTCATCAATTTCCCGAGCTTTGACTTCTAAAAATGCACGTCATTTGGAATTACATGTGATCATTGTATACCAATGAAGCTAAAAAGCAAGTTTTAGAGGATAGTTATGAGATGAGCTTTGGGACGGAATATTGGGTGAACAAAAAACAATACACGCTTCAAATGAGTGTAGTGGAGATGATGATGTTGAGATAGATGAGTGGTAAGACATGAAGGGATAGAATTCAAAATGAATCCATTCGGAAAAAGTTAGGTGGAAATGATGATGTTGAGATGGATTAGTGGTAAGACAAGAACGGATAGAATTCAAAATGAATCCATTCGGAAAACGTTAGGTGTGACACCAAGAGGCGATGAGATGAGAGAGAGTAAACTTAGTTGAACGTAGACCCAACACAACACCTGTTACGAAGTACAAGTTAGTTCAAATGATAAAAAAGGACAAAAGGATATAAAGACTATGACCTCACTTAGTGTATGACCCTTAATAGAGCAGAATGGCTGACTAGGATTCATATAGCCGATCTCAATTAATTAAAAAAAAGCTACGATGATGATGAACAAATCCACCTAATAAAATGCACTCAAAGAAGCTTAAATTATATCTAAATTGCTTTCACAAAAGTAATGAAGGGAGAACAACATTCATTCTTACCTAAAAGTGCAACAGGGCCTTGCACTGAAATTTTTTTTTCATACGAAGTTCCTTTTTGCATCGACCCATTTTATTGAAATTTTAGGCAATCTAGAACAAAAATGGCCTCAAGTTGGTTTCACACCGTGTTGAAATAACTTTGCATAAAGGGCAAAAAAAGAAGAAGAATCAAAGCATTAAAAAAAAAAAAATAGATGAAGTTGAATCTTCGTTTGAAAAGCACTTTCAAAATCTTCATGATGACTCTAAAATCAATTTCAACACCAACAATAAAATTTAAAGTTAAAATAGACGTACATATCTTGTGAATCTTTGAACACTTATTTTTAAGACAATATGGACGATCTAGATAATTTGTTAAAATATACATCATTTTTTAAAGTTTGAAATCCTAACTTTTTTTCACAACCACAATATTCAAAATCAAGATGATCAATGTAAATATTTTCCAACACTTGAATTACAATTTTCAACAAGTCATTAGGTGAGGCTTTGCTTATTTTGATAAGGCTGCAAATCTATCAAACCATTTTCCTAAAAAATAATGAACCTATGTGACCCGTGCTAAATTGAAAAAAAAATAGGCTAAGAAAGTCGGTTTGAAAGAATAAGTGGAGGATCCTATGTGTAGGATTTTTGAGGTAGAGATGTATAAATAATTTTCCCAATAGTCAATTTTTATGAAAAGTTCCAAACTTTCCTTAGGGCCCTCTGCCTAGTCCCTGCTGACTCACCCAAAAAAAAAAAACTACATTTAGTTATGCTAAACACAATGGTTTTATTTTTTTTAAAAAAAGGTAATCAAATATAATATATTCTCCCCTGTTCAATTGTGCCCGTCAGGATATAACGACCGTTACATGTATTTAAGATCAATATGGTTAAATAACATTGTATTTGTATATAACAGCCCATGCATAATCGTTTAAAGGCCCATATATCAGTTTTCAGAGTTTTATTACAGGGAGATTATTTTGCGTCTCTTAAAAATATATTAGATCCATTGGTTTTTAAATAATCTCTAACAATTCAATTTAAAATAAAAATTCAATCGAATGAATACCCCATAAATTAGTTAGCCCAAAAGATTTCACGCTCTCAAGAGAGCAACTCCCTTGAGCAAACCACAGAAGTAATATGGAAAAAAGATAATTTTTAGTCCTAAAAATAGTTGGAAAGCTTTCTATGGTCCTCCTACAACATAGAAGTTCTATCTTCCCCCTACCATCCAGCCGTCTATTTTTTATCAAGAGAGCCACTCACCATTTGATCTTAGATCCGACGTCTCAAAGTATTTTATTTTTAGTTTTTTTAATACAAATTTTATGAATATGAAATTTAGTACGTGCCATCTTCTCATTGGGCTGCACCTATAAAAAGATAGTAACAATAATTTTTCAATAAAATATAATGACCAAAATACCCCTTGAATCTTTCAGGGGTATTTTGGTCATTTTATTTTATTGAAAATATTTTTTTATATTTTTTCGTTAGTGCGAGGAATGAGCGTCCAAAATTTGACGTCAAAATAGTTTATAGAAAAAAAATTAAAAATAAAATAGTGTAGAAACGTGACATTATGATTCGGGCAATCTTAGCCCTCTATTAAAAAATAGACGGTTGGATAAGGGGGAGGATACAACTTCTATGTTGTAGGGAGAATATAGAAAGCTTTCTCAAATAGTTTAGCTTCTAACACATTATCTAGACTGTCTATTTCAAGTATTCATAGATTTGCTTGATAGCCACTATTTATGAAACTTTAAATTTCATAGGGGTAGCAATAATTATCATATCATCACAAGACCGTACGATACTGAAATTACATTTTTGACTTAGTTTTGAGGTGCACACAACTTCGAATTGGATTAGTTTCTCCTCAACAAATAACTGCTTGGGCCAACAAAATCCTACCTAATGGAGAGATGGTTGGAGAAGTGACAAAACCCTATACTTTTCATTACAAAAGCAATAAACCGGAAAAAGATGAATTGTTTTGTGAAAGAATCTGTGGGCCTATCAAAAGTGGAATTTGTGTTTGTGGAAATTACCGAGTCATCGGGGATGAAAAAGAAGACTTGAAATTTTGTGAACAATGCGGAGTCGAATCTATTGATTCTCAGCTATGAAGATATCAAATGGGATACATCAAACTGGCATGTCCATTGACTCATGTATGGTATTTGAAACGTCTTTCCAGTTATATCACGAATCTTTCAGATAAAGCTCTTAAAGAATTAGAAGGCCTAGTATACTGCGATGTGTGATTTGATCAAAATTACAATTCTACAGATTCAGAATGAAAACCTGTCATCCCGTTCAATGCAATTGGGATGCCTCCAGCTCTGACATGTCTCTTAGGAGAAGTAACATGAAGCTCAGAATTATGGGTCTATTCAATACTTCCAAATGAAAGAGGAATGATCCATTGTCGATTCCGTAGCGAATCAATCAATAGGGAATTCTTGTACCTCGTAAAAAAAGCATCTTTTGTGGAACTAGAACCAGACATTGTATTTCTTTTAGTTTAGAAAAAGGTTCTGTTCAAATAAGCAGATATTACATGGTTACAGGAGTCTATCCATCGCATGTATGCTTCACTTCAAGGGACACCATAGCATAACCGTCGAGGCGAAGTAGGAACCTAAAAGATCGAATGGATCCCTTATGAATTCCAAAGTATTCTTTTAATTTAAGAGAATTCATCATTCGAAGGGAAGGAGACTACTCAATAATTCCACTTTGTCGTAATTGAATGAGTAATTGAGGAGAAGAGATGAATCAATGAAATATGGATTGGTCCTCACCGAGAACTTGAGTAAGGAGTAGTTGTGGGATTTGTCTAGGGTAAAATTTGGGAGTGAGAACCCCTTTATTTGGTACAACTACTTGAGCCAGATGAGAGGAAACCTTCACGTCTGATTTTGAGGGGGGGATTCTATAGGAACTTATCCCAATTTCTCTTTTGCTAGGCCCATAGCCAAAAAACCCACTTTCTTACGATTACGAGGTTCATTCGAATATGAAATTCAATCTCGAAAATACATCATCCCACTTTTTTTACTACCTAATGCTTCAATCTATTTAGAAATAGAGAAATATCTATTGGAGCAGGTGCTATCAGAGAACAATTTGCCGATCCGGATTTGCGAATTATTACAGATTGTTCATTGGTATAGTGGAAGGAATTGCGGGAAGAAAGATCCGCTGAGAATGAATGGGAAGATAAAAAAATCATAAGAAGAAAGGATTTTTTGGTTAGACAAATGGAATTGGCTAAGCATATTCTTAGAACAAATGTAGAACCAGAACGGATGGTTTTGTGCCTATTACCAGTTCTTCCTCCCTAGTTGAGGCCAATCATTCAGATAGAGGGGGTAAACCAATGACTTCGAATATTAATGAACTCTATAGAAGAGTTATCTATCGGAATAATACTCTTATCGATCCATTAACAACAAGTAGATCTACGCCAGGGGAATCAGTCAGTGATGTATCAAGAAAAATTAGTACAAGAAAAAAGTCGTAGATACACTTCTTGATAATGGGATCCGTGGACAACCAATGAGGGGCGGTCACAATAAAGTTTGCAAGTCTTTTTCAGATGTAATTGAAGGCAAAGAGGGAAGATTTCGCGAGACTCTACTTGGTAAACGGGTCGGTCGTTCTGTCATTGTGGTGGGCCCTTCGCTTTCATTACATCGATGTGGATTACCCCGAGAAATAGAAATAGAGTTGTTTCAGACATTTGTAATTCGTGGTCTAATCAGACAACATGTTGCATCCAACATAGGAATTGCTAAAAGTAAAATTCGGGAAAAAGAACCAATTGTATGGGAAATACTTCAAAAGGTTATGGAAGGACACCCTGTATTGTTGAATAGAGCACCTACTTTGCATAGATTAGGCATACAGGCGCTCCAACCTATTCTAGTGGAAGGACGTGCTATTTGTTTACATCCATTAGTTCGTAAGGAATTCAATGCAGACTTTGATGGGCATCAGATGGCTGTTCATGTACCTTTGTCTTTGGAAGCTCAAGCGGAAGCCAGTTTACTTATGTTTTCTTATATGAATCTCTTGTCTTCGGCTATT